ACTACAAACTCTTTGCTTCACAATCATAGTTTAAGGCTGAGGTTGGCTTTCGCTGTTGCTTGTGCCGCACTTTTTCCTTCCACTAACCTTTCCAATAATATGCTTGTGTATGGCGCTCTACAAACATCCAGTTCCTACAGCTAAGACATTTTTGTCTTACCTTTCTTGTAGAGAACGTTAGCAGTCTTGCTTATGATTGCATGACTGTTATGCAATGACATAACATTTCTGTTATGTTTTATTATTCTGATGAACTGAATTGTGGGTTTTTATGAACATTAAGCAATAATTATCAAAATCGGTGGAATCAAAAGTTTTGAATAACAACTAAGGAGTTTCATTTTGTTTTATTAACAAATTGATGAACTTTCAGGTCATATTTTGACTGAGATACACCTATAGAGCAATGTGGATTTGAAAACTACTAAGTTTAATATGCATGCTACATTTCTGCTTCAATATTTTTTATAAAATAAAAATAAACATATGCATTTTATTTATAGCAATGTAACTGTAAAATCAATATGTTGGAGTATTTTTAAAAATTTGTTATTGTTCGTTTTAGACATTTTTGTATTCAATTTTTGTGTGTTTTTTTTTTAAAGGAGGGCATGCCTACTAAAAAAGCTGCAGCCCTATAAATGTGTCACTATTAGTGCTTCATTTAAATTAAAAATTCATTTTAAAGACATCAACACAAACTTTTGAATGTAAATCATTTAAATTATTCTTGATTCTGATAACTCAAAAGTCTTTGTCCTCCTCATTAAATGCGTCTGTTGCTACACTCAGTGTAAACATGTCATGCATCGCATGCGTATGTGACATCTGCATCATTTCAGCTGAAACGTGCACAGCAGTGGGCCCCAAATAGGAGCTGTGAAGAAGTTTCCTTTGTCTTTAGCTGACCAACATGAAACCTTCCGCTCTAATGCGCCGCTCCTACAAATCAGCACTATTTCCTGCTGAACCCAGACAGCGTGATGGGCGGGTGAAAGAAAGGGGTGTCTGCTTTCTGCCACTTTGACAGTAAGACAAAACTTTCCCGTTTGTTCAGGACATAAATCTGTTCGCAACACCGTGACTGCACATACGCATTGTTTAGATTTTTTGTTCCCGTTCAAATTCTGACGTAAACCTTTGGTTTTTCCACACTGACCGTTCTCGACTCTAAATCCCCGGAGACTGCATCGTGTCGTTCCCACACTTTACGTTTACCGCCGTCTTGCACTCATCCGCACACGAACCCATGCATACATGCACACAGTATATAATGCCAAAACTAAACACTTGCACTGTGTGTAAATACAGAGTCTTGTTGACACTAAAATACAGCTTTGCACACCCTGACTCGAGGTGTTTGCTAGCTGGTAAAATATTAGCTTTGGATTGGCGGCTGTCATGAGCTCATCGGACAGGCGCTGTTAGGTGTGTGTGTGTGTGTGAAGTGGAGCCACGGTTAAGCCCAAGGATACGAAGTCATGAGCATACGAGCAGGATCATTTGTGTTTGTCTGTGTTTGAGGTTTGACCAGACAGTTGTCTTCAAACTATCATAGTAAACAGACGGAATGAACAAGATGTCACTGTGCTGTCAGGTTTTATCGCTTTTTTTCTTTCTTAAAAGTTACGTTTCTTTTACTTTTTGCAAAAACACAAGTTCAAAGCTAACTTTGTTTTTAAGTTGGCAGACCTTTTCTAAGAGCTGCGAGTACAGCCGGACTTTCGTTGCTCACTCAAACATCCATCAACTCAGCCATCCATTAAACATGTCATTCCTCTTAACTGTATGCAAGGGACGCCCCAGAAAGAAGAGCGAAGTGGCGGCCTGGAGGGGCGCCAGCGTATGCAGAGTGCAAAATGAGGTGAGCCAACACCTCAGTGCAGCTCCAAGCAGCTGGTTGTCGACAGAGCAAATATACATTTAGAGCAGTGAAGCCAGCCACGGCTCCCACTCTGATTGTGACTCTCCTGCTGCAGATGCCTCTGGCCTGGAAGGACCAGCTGGCTCCAGATACTGGTTTAGATAAAGAGTAAGGCTGGGAAATGTGGCTAAAAGATCAGGTTTTTTAAATCACAAATTTTAGTTTATCATGAAAAGACATAACGGCGCATTTAGCACAAAAGGGGACAGATTTTAAACGGCTTTGCCTTACAGTTTTAGCTCGCTCAAAAGGGAAACGACAAGATATTAAAATTCTGCTTTTTCAAGAGAAGGATGTACCGGGATGGAAATCTTCTGTTTATCATGCAAAAATCCTTCACAGTTGTCGGTTTATCTTCAGTATAAATATTATTATTATTACCACAACTAATACTCTCACTGCCAGCTTAAATGATGTTCAGAACACAGTGTGTGTGGTGAAAACTTTTATTGTGAAGACTTGAGGGAGGTTTTTATCAGTTCGTCTGTCATTGATGCTATAAAACAGACTCTTATTGAACTGCTTCGAGCAGAATACCTCATTATTTATTATTATTTTTTGTAAACAAGTACAAGCAGCCACTCTGATACAAGGCTGGAAACAACTTAAGCCAAGAAAACTATTCTGAAGACACATTGCCTCTAACCAAAAGTTAAATGACTTTTACTGGCCACCTAGTAGGTTGAAGCTGCGAGATTAAGAGGATAACTTTTGCATGAAGCAATGACGTGCATCATCAAAACATTTCCTGCACATTTATAAAGTTCACAACACAGACGCAGCATTTCTAGTTGAACTGACATCTCTTTATTTTGACAGAAAATCAAACAAATCTGGAGTTTTAGTTGTGAAGTGCGGCAATGAGATTCAGTTTCAATGTTCATTTTAAAAACTTGTTTTTTTTTTTTATTATTATGTTTAAGAAAATACAGCAATTTCAAAAGTTGGCATTTAAAATTAACAGAGAAACTTTGCACCATTATAAGCATTTCTCTTGGTAAGTTGTGAAGAAAAGACAAAAATCTTTTTAAATAATCTAAATGAAACTAGACTGAGAACACAAGCCTCCATTCCCATGCTTGTAAATGTACCATTTTGTGTCATTTTTATTATGTGTCAGGGTAAAATGCCCCGTAGCTCTATACGTAGCCAGTGTGTTTTTTTTTTTCTTCTTTAAAAGCAAAAGAGAATTTATCACACCAGCAGTTTCTGCATCTCGGCTTTAATAAGCTGCTATTGAGGTTAGTGAGGTAAAGAAAACTGTCACCTAAAACCCGTACAGTCTTAATTGCTTGTTTCTAAAGATAAGACTCGCCACACAGAGCTCTGCAGTCGTCAGTTCACTCATGTCTTTCTCCCACTGACTTTATTTTCATCTGGATTAGTTTGCAGAAGACCAACGCTGCAAACTCTGTTTTGATAAAGTCTGGTTGATAATTTAGCTTGTATTGCATTTCACTTCATGTCCAGTAATTAATCTAAAATGAAATGCTTTGTTTTGAATGCTGTTAAATTTTCGGAATCCATTTTGTTTTTGTGCAAAACACACATTTAACTTTGATGCATTTAACTTTGGTTTCATTTGGTCACCGTGTTCACTCAGTCGTTTTTTTTCCAAGATGGGCTAGAATATTGCACATGTAAACACAGATTAGCCGAGCACTCTGTAAAGTGTTGGGACTGGTTTTTGCAAGCAGCACCAACTCTCAGGCAAAGGTCTGAACAACTCGTGTCCAGGATGTGTGGGATCTGCAGAGATGTTGGCGACCGATTTCCTGACCCCATCTCCATAAGTCCTGGAGGAATATTTCAGCTCAAAGCACTCAGAGCAGATCATGCGGCAGTTGCAGCAACTATTAGTCTTTTTTTATGATCTGTGTCATGGTAAAGATTGGAAAAATGATAGTTAGGTTGGCTAACGCTATAGCTGCCTGGCTAACACTGACTGCCTGACTTAGTGGGGCCGACACTTTCTCAGGGCCCTGAACAGGATTGGGACAAATGTGCTAAAAAAGTCTAAAGCTACGGTAGATTTAGACTAGCTTTTTATATATCTTAACAATTAACATAACTTTTGGTCACATTCGATGGATATTTGCAATGTTTAAATCATTAAAACTATTTGATTTCCTATTGGTTATTAGTGTTGACTTGATGTAAACAGACTTGGATGCATTTAACTATTAATTTCAGTGTCATTTACATTAAAACAGGAATGGCCTGTGTGCTGAGGAACATTTACGGTGTAAATGTAAACACACAAGATTGTAGCCAGAGGCTAATTTTCCTGACTATCTCGCATCACCGGCTGACGTCAGAAAAGGGAAGAGTTATTTATTTATTCCCTTTTTAATCTACACGTTACCATCTGTGCATTTGCAGCAGAGCTTTTTGACAGGCTTTCAAAGGGAAGTAAATCCAAGCCTCCTGGGTGGGGTCCAATTGGGACCGGTGTTTATAATTACCTTCTTGTACAACACCGCGTGTTTGTGGTCGCATTTATACTTGTGTGTGTGTGTGTGTGTGTGTGTGTGTGGGTGCGTTTCCTCGTTGCACATGTGTTTTTCGCATGACTGATAGCAGCGCCGTATCAGGCTGGTGATACGAAGCAGGAACATGTTTATCAGTGTAGCAGTGATGTATGCGCACGCTCATCTGCACACAGATTAGCAGCAAACGGAGCAGATACTAAGTACATCCATCTGAAAATGATGCCTGTGTCGTTCTGTGTAAAAGTGCTTTACGTTTATTCTGTTTTCCCACATTTTAAATGATTTCAAATCATTAAAAATGTTGACGTAAAAAACAAATTAGTTTTAAAAAGACGCCATTTTTACTTTAATTTGTAAATTAACAGTAGTAAAGCAGTTTCGCTTAGCCACAAGGCTAGAAGTCACTTTAATAGAACCTGTCCGACAGCATGAAGTAGGCTAAAATATCTCAAAAAGCAGCAGACGATGTGACACTGATACGAGTCAGTTTGAAAAGGGTCATAAAGTCATTTCTGGAGAAAACAAACAAAGTATTATCTTATTTTTTTTATCATGAACTGCCGATTACATCTCTCTCTTTGCAGAGACGAGGGGCCATCTCCTATGACAGCTCTGATCAGACGGCGCTGTACATTCGTATGCTAGGTAAGTGTTTCCCTGTCCTCACCCTCAGACACACACATGAACACTTTGCAGATGTTAGAAATGTTTAGTGGTCGTTGTGTATTCCCAGTGGCTAGTTTATACAGTTTATATTTTAAATAACTTGATCCCTGCTTTTGTTTTTATCTCCGTCACACCAAGTTTGGTTTGCAACGCCGGGAGTCTTTTGGGTTTTATCAGATCTAAAGTACAGACTTTCCGCCCTCGCCAGAGTAAGAGCTGGTGTGTAGCTGGGCTGACTGGTGCTTTTCCACGTGCCTTTGTGTACATACTGTATGTGTGTAGCACCATCCATTTGCCCTGAGTGACTCCAACCGGAGTAAGCAGTTTAGAAAATGGAAGAGAGGATGGAGGACTGATAGATCTGCCAGTCAGATGGAGCGAAATGCGTCTCGGAAGGAGCTGGATCAGCAGCTGCTTCCTAATCAATAAGGTTATTGGGGATGGATGTGATTAGAGGCTGGTTATACCACTACGGGCTGTCTATTTATCGTTGATGTGGGAGTGTGAAGGCAGCTTCTGTCACTTAGTACAAACACTTTTTTGAGTGGAAGCAAGGGAATAATCGGAGAAGAGTCGCTCAAATGCTGACCTGCGAAGTTCAAACTGTAGAAGGATCTTACCGGGAAACAATAAAATTGAAAACTGTTTAACTTTTTTATTTAATCATAAGATCCATATACTTTTATACTTTTATTCTCCTCCGGCTCCATCATGATTTAACTACTTCCTTGTAAGTCAAACGCCTTCTTGCACAGTGGTCACTGCCGTAGATGGCTATTGAAAAGCTGTGTACGTGGTTTGTTACTCCTTACTCTGCTGCCTTCTAGCCGACCAGTGTAGCTGCACGTACTGGCAAGGTATTCTTCTTCAAATATACCCTGCCAGTAGTCTTTTGTAAATGTTGAATATTACATAAATATCTCACCAGCCCTTTTAATAGGAAGAGATTAACCTGGAAGCTCTTCGAATCCTGACCGAGGCATTTCTCTCTTCTTTGTGGTGTTTTTTCTGGGTCCTCCGGCTCCCTCTATCTGTTCGAACCCATAAATGTTAGGCTTAAAGGTCATCAATTATGTGCCCTGTCTTTGGTTCATCTAATCACAACTTGATTTTAACATTTCACCCATCAGTATTTGGTTTTGCTTTTGGACACTCATTCAAAAAAAAAAAACAACTAAAAAAGCAACAATTTCACAACTGTTTTTGGTCTCAAGTCAACATAAAATAGAGGTTGCACCAAAATTGATTTGATTTTAAAATCCACTAAAACACTAAACTGTAAACTGTTTTTAGAAACCATATAGACAATCAGCACTTAATGTAGAATACTGCAGTCCTTATTTTAGTCCAAAAAATGTTGATTTATCATTTTAAGTTGTTGTAATTAAGTTAGCCTAGATCCCAAAAAAGCAAATCAGAAGCAAATTTTAGGGATTCTGCTTTGTGGACTATGTAGATAAAGGATGCTAATATTTTACTCAAATGACCAGAATATTATAAAAAAATAACAGCAGAGAAGAATCAGGTAAATTTTTAATTTACACATTAAAAAGTGTAAAAACTTTTAACACAGCTCGTGTCATTTTAGTTTAAAAGGCTGAACTGATATAAATCAGAGACCGTCATATAGTGTAGTGGAGCTAATATCTAAGTGGAGATGATGTTAGACGGGGCCTCTAAATGTCTCTCAAGAAAGGGAAAAACTGCAATATACGAGTTGTAAGTGGATTCTTAGGGTGTTTTAAAACCAGACAGTACAGTAAACTTGGTTCTATCAGGACCAAAGTTGCAACATTTGTTACAATTTCAGCTGGTGCGGTTCACTTTCACACTGCACTGTCAAATAAACCAGGTTCTCCCTTTTGCCTGTGGCGGCGCTCCACCACGAACCCCGAAAGGAAACGACATGAAAACCTCTGAAGAAGACACGGAGCACAACTGCCTTCTTTACATAATGTAAACAAAAATGGAGTGGCGTCGGATTTTGGTGGTTGTAGGATTTCTCTTTTGTCTTTGGCAAAAGACCACAAGGCATTTCTCCTGCTAGAGCCAGACTCGTACGTTTGTTTAGGTTGTATTTAACCAGGATGTCCTACGTTACAGAGTCTGTTCTGCTTTTGGAACGATACTCAGTACATTTGCCATCCACATATGCATTGGAACCGCGTCACTTCAACCGAACCGAGACTTGGGTTTGCAGGTGGACCAGAGTTTGCCTGGTCAAACCGAACCAAACTTTCTAGACAAACAAACCAGTGTTTGGTTAAAGTAGACCAAATAGGACTGGTGTGTGCACCCTAGATCTGTATACCTCCAATTGAGTTTACTGATGACGACGCTCAGCCGTGTCACTGTTGTTTTTGTGGGGAATGCGCGTTGTTGAAATACACCGTTGAGCAACAAAAAGCAAAACGAGAAGAATGAGAAAGAGAAGCACAGAGAGCTCAGGAGTCAGAGACGAGGTCACATTTTCCTTAAAGAGTCTTGGATTTGGGCTTGTTTTCTGCTCACTCAGTATAAAATATCAATTTATATTTCTAAGTTTATGTTGACCACCTTGGTGGACGTGTGAAAAACTCTTCGAAAGGCAAATATTATAAAAAGAAAAAGAAACAAAATAAAAATCATTCCTGTGGATGATTTAATCCACTTAATCCTAGTGAGTCTGTCATAATTCATGCACGAAACGGCCACTCGGAGCCTTGGCTGAGCTGACTGAAGGGGTTTTTTAATCATTTTCCATGGCCAAGTATGACGGCAGTCTCGTACGTCATTGGCATAAAGCATCTGTGTCTGCAGGATTTTTTTTATTTTCATTTTTTTTAGATTAAGCGGAGTGTGAGCAGCAGAAGCACGCTAATGCAGACTGGTGTTTGCCTGTGCCCGGCTTTAGCCGGCTAACTTAATGCTGATGTGCTTTCAAATAGCAGCACTCAGAGCTTTTGCCACATCAGTTATAATGACCTGACCTACATCCACCCCAGAGTACCGGCACTAATGCACCATTGGGGGGGGAAACATGGACTCTGTGACTCTCAAAAACACACTAATCTCACACACACACACACTCGATGTTGACCCGAAGCACATGTATCTGCACATGTGACAGATGTTTATACATACAAACACACACTCAGTGCCCAGGAATGCATGCACTCTTGTGTTTTTAGTTATCCATTGTTTCTTTTTTGTTTTTTTTCCCCAGATCAAAGTCCTTCTCAACAAATTGTGAAGCATTGTTTATGCCTTGAATTGTAATTCAAAGTTTTTGGTATTTTGATAGGAGCTTGTGTAGTGTTCAAACAGCTGTTTGCAAGTAAGTAACGTGCCGGTTGTGGGTTCACATGCGTGCGACTTTGCTCTTTAATTTCGATGCACACATGACACAATCTGACGTGCCATGCTGGGAACGTAACATTTCGATGTCTAGCTCCTTGATCAGTTAACTTCCATGTGCAGAGCCTTGTGAAAAGAAATACCCCTTAAGCTATTTCCACAATTAGTCACAACCACAAACATCAATGTTTTTACTGGGGTTTCTTGTGATAGACCAACACACACCAGACGATGAAGAAGAGAGATGCGTGATTGTAAACGGTTTTACGAGTAAGGATCTAATCTCTTTCTATAAAACAATGTGTCAAGTTTTAAACCGAAGCACTTTTTATTAACCGTAGGAAGATGATAAAAGTATGGCACAAACCTAAAATGGAGAACATTAACTAGAGAAACAGTCGAGGCCCATAGTCATTCCCGAGGAGTTGCAGAGATCCACAACTCGGGTGGGTGAATCTGTTGGCTATTTCTTTTTAAGGGAGGAGTGATATAAGAATAATCTTGTTTGTGGATCTCTACTGACCTCGTACGAGACACGGCAAACGTGGGAAACGATTTCTCCATCAGGTGACAAAAGCTCGACTCTGCTCAATGCGCACCATCCTCATGGCGAAACGTGGGGCTTAGCACCATCAGGCTGAGGGAATGCTTTCTACTGCAAGCGACAAGGAAGTTGGTCAGTTTTTCCACGTAGATTGCAAAGCAGTGACAAACCTTTAAGTGGGATATTGAGCCAAAGATGGCTCCAGAGCGCAAAAGCCCTGGTTCTTAGCGAGTCTCGAGAGCTACACAGTAAAAATCAGCGACTCAGAGCTAAGGCGAAGATTTGACAGTACTAGCTTGATGCTCTGCTGCAGGTTGCTGCACTAGCCTGCTGCTGCAGGTTCTGGTTGAAACGTCTTACAGTTCCTCATATTTTTCTAATTTTGACATATTTCCTCTCCGTCTTACTAAGCCTACATGTGGTGTGGCTCCTTTTCAACTCGCTCTTCCTTTGGCACAGAGGGCACAGGATGTGGTACACATAACCTCATGTCCTTATCGAAAGTTTGCTCCTAATTTCCACCCTCTGGCTTTCTCAAACTTAGCTCATAGGCCATTAACGTAATCGAGTATCAACCTTTGATCAAGCCGGAAATTGAATGCATTGAAACTTGATCTTATCCCCAATTTGTAGCAGGATTTGAAACTTGGTATTCACACTTATGCTATCTGACTGAATCTGAGCTATTTTGCAAATAATTGAGTCAGTTCCATCTCAAAACGAGTAAAGCTGGAAGAGATCTGCCTCAAGACACTTGCATCTGTTGTTGCAACAAAGGGTGGATCAACAGTACGTGGCCGTTTTTTAAAAAGATTTTTTTTTTTTTGCACTTATTTGCAAGTACGTGCTTCTTTGTGTTGGTCTATCGCACAAAACTCCAATTGGTTGTTTTGGTTTTTTTTTAAACCTGACAAAACGTGGAAAGGTTTAGGGGCATGGATACTTTTGGGAGGCTCTGTAGAGCCTTGCCTGGAATCAACACTCTGGCATTTTGCTGCATCAGCGTCACAGCATCGTTCTGCCACCTCACTATAATCTCGCTCCTGACTGCAGTCTACATGCTGATCCGTCCGCCGTCCGTGGGGTCCAGCTTCGGAGCCCGCTCCGCCGCCTGACTACTAAAACCGGTCGTAGTTCGACTCCAGGTCGCCCTCAGTGGCTCTGGGTACTAATAGTAGAGCAGACTGTCCTGATATGGCACTGCATGCTCAGCTGTTCACTTCCCTGTCTGTTTCCTCTTCTGGGACATGGGAGTGTGTGTTTGTGTGCGACTGTTCCTGCATATGAATAGCACCCGCTAGACCTGGGTCAAATCGTACTTTCTGAAATCGCAGCTTCTGCTTGTTTCTTAGTTTTCTGAGAATGCCAGCGTGATGGGTTTTACCATATTATTGACCTGGTTGTAGCTATTCCAATAAACAGATGCGTTAAAATTCTTCTTCTCATTCGAAGGGTTTTCTGTCAAATCTCCAAAGTAAAGGAAAACTGTATTTTCTGACAAGAACCGAAAGGCAACTTTTTAATTCATTTTTATTTGCAAAAATGTGTCAAACTTCAAATTAAGCTATTCACACATTTTTTCCTTTTTATTAACGCATTCAATAGACATTTGAATGCAAACATCTGCAGAATAACAAAGCTTACAGATTTATATACGCGTTTGGAGTGCAGTTTTAAAAAACGCCATTTGGTAGACAATTTCAACTTCATCATGAAATGCATTGTCGCAGCCCCAGACTGCAGCCTAGTTCGGCATAATGTCAAAGATCTTACCCGAGTTTAGAGTTCCTTCCAAACTAAATTAAAAACAATGATTATGACTATTTAAAATTTGCTATGTACACACAACTACAGTGCGTCCCACAGTTTTTCTTGCCTCTCTTCAAAAAGGGAAAACAAAATGGAGTCGAGTTTATCCTGGCAAAATGCAACAAAAGTAGTGAGGGGATTGTTACAATATTTATTTTTAGGCGTTTGTAAACTATTATGTGCATATTCTAAAAACAAATAAAACGGAAAAATAGTTATTTAACAACTCTGAGCTTTTCTTTGGATGTTGCCAGAAACCCAGGATCATTTAGTTTGGCTTTCCTTCAGGAGCTCTTTTAAATGGCACTGAAAAGGTTTAACATCCCACTGATTTTTTGTCGTTTAAATTTAGTGTGCGCTTGGTTTGTTCTCCTGCTCCGCACATCATCATGTGGTCAAGCCCGTCCTCATGGCACTTAAAAAAAAAAAAAAGGGATAAAATCATGTAAATCAGATCAGTCTTGAAATATAACTTCTAAGTAGTTCTTTTTTTTTTGTTTGTTTGTTTGTTTTTTAGAACAATGATGCTTTTATTTATGTAATTTTTTTAAAAAAATTTTTTTTGCACGGTACGAATCTTGAGGAAACGAGTGTTAATTTCTTCTAGGAGATGTGAGAGTACGAAGTCAGGTTGGATTTGAACCGGAACGCCGAAGCTCCCACCCCTACCTTTGCATAGACTTCCGAACTCTTCACAGTGAGTATGGACCTCAGTCCAGTGTCTTTAAATCTTTCCCCACTAGATCAAACCCATGACTGAACACCTAGAAAATATGTTTCCCATGCATTTAACCAGCCAAGCCACATAGGACACTCATCGTCGCCATGGATGCCATAATTATTTTTGATTATTTTTTATTTTCTTTTTTGGTGATGAATGTAAACATTGTGAGGCAGAATTACTAATGCGCGATAAACTTCACTGCTTTTTGCGAAAAAATAATTTGTGCACAGGTTTGAATTATTAATGTCCTTTGATGCACACTTTGGTCCAAAACGTCCACTCAGCATGATGCTACTTCCACCGTGCCTTGCAGTTGGTGTAATCTTTTTGGTTTTAAAGTGTCGCCTTGACTTCTCAGTCTTTTTCTCCAGAAACGTCAAGTCAGGCTTTACGGTTTTAGTTGTGGAGGAGGTGCTACTCTCAGTCCACAGTGATTTAAATCTCGATTAACTGTGTGGAGGACGATGCCGGTGATCCAATTGTTTTCAGCTCGTAGAGGGTTTGACATCATGACTTGGTCTAAAATAATTGTTCAGGTTAATCATGGTGACTTGATAGTTGAAATAATTGCCAAATAATTTAGTAGTCAGCTGTTAACTGGAGTATCCAGACTCAGAAAAAAAAAAGCCATTTTCAGAGCAGTAATTTAGCCAAAACTGTGTAAAAATATTCACATTTTGCATTAAAGATAAAAAGAACCACCTTCCACTATCTAATTATTAACTGGTTAACCCCAAAAACATAATCAAAAGGTCAGTCTTGCACTCTAAGTGAAAAAGGGTTGTGTTTTTCACATGTTGATGTCAGAAGTGTGTATTTATCTGCAAATGTATCCTTTACTACAAACGATGAAGTGTTCACTAAAAGAATGCCGTTATTGCATTCTAAGCAGTAAAATGTTTTTTTTTTTATTATTGTAAAAAGGAACTGAGTTATTTGTTTATTTGCGTCTTTTAACATATTTCTAATATTGTATAAAAAAAACGATTCTGGTGGTCAAAGAAATATCTGCAGAATGTGCCATTTAAAAAAAAAATCAGATTAATCGTCAAAACAATCGATAGAATAATCGATTCCTAAAATAATTGTTAGTTGCAGCTCTAATTCCTTTTCTTCTGATGTGATGGTTTTGGTCTGATGAGTGAAACCTGGACGTTGTAGGATTTTTCTAGTAGCATAAAATTAATCCTAAACACGCATCAGGTTAGCATTGGGTTTCTGTTAAAGCCCTGTCCTCAGTCCTTCAGAAAATGTATACGCTACACATAAACGCCGGTTCTCAGCCTGGAAGTGAATCTGCATAAATTAGCTCTACTATTCCTGCCAAGAGGATTGGTCTAATTCAGAGCCAGAACGTTGGCTGCAGCCTGTTAATTTCTATAAAAAGCATGTGGTTAACCAAACGTTGGTGAGGTGAACGGCTATATTGAAACCAGTTTGCTTAATTTTGACCCTATTTGGACTAGAGAAGATGAATTCAACTTCATTTCTAACAAAATCAGTTGGATTAGTGTATATAAACTTCCAACCGACCTATATGTCTTCAATGCGTGTTGCTTTAAATGATCCAAGCCTTTCAACTGGTGATTCAAGCATAACCTAGCATTAGGTCCATTATGGCATATTGACTGAACAAGCCAGCCTCTGATAACAAGAGTCGTTGGTTGGTTCCTCTTCTGGAAGTCTTAGTTAGGTGTGTCTTTGTTTAATGCGATCAAGAATTTTTTTTGTCAAACCTTTTTCAAATAGATGAGTTATTAAAATTCATTTAGATTTATTATTATTATTATTATTTTTCTCCTGCTGACATTTTGACCCCCAAAGTAATCCCACCTCCCGCTGACGTATTTCCAGAGCACAGCCGCAGTTTGCACAGACCCTTCGCCTTTGCACAGTGCGTGTTTGTGTGTGCATGAAAAGAGAGAGACCACTGACAAAGCATGTCTGCCGTGTGATCCCAGACGAAAGGCTTACGAGTAGGCGGCTGTGTCAGCAGCGACTGTTTGGATATCGCTGTGTTGGTGTCGGATCCCCACCGAGGCCGTGCCCAGCCAAATGCTTCTCCAAGCCTAATGAGCTTCTGGAGGGTTGGGGGAGGGGGACACACCAACAGTTTCATTCATATGTTGCATCGTTTGAGTAATATTTCTGTGTGCAGCGCGGCTGAGCTGCGGATCCTCGCCGGCTGACTCTGGTACTGAAAAGAGGGTCCACAGGCTGCTCAGCTTCCAGCGATATCTGCACTCGTCCCGCCTGCTGCGGGGAATCCCCCAGCAGATCCCCCTCCACATCCTCGACGAAGACTACAGCGGACAGGCTAGAGTACGATGCCCACCGTTCAGTAGAATAACTCAATACAACGTAAAGAAGTTTTTTGTTTCCTCCCCCTGCCCCCCCAGCATCTTTAACGTTATGCCTTCTCTTCTTTGTCTTTCAGTGCATGTTGGAAAAAGTTGGCAACTGGAATTTTGACATTTTCCTCTTTGACAAGCTGACAAATGGTGAGTAGAAGATGTGAGGTCGCATCAAAATAAAGAGGCTGTTTAAGAACCGCTACCAATGCTGCCATCTAGTGGACATTGTGTTTATCAATTAATCTTGTTTTAAGATTAACCTCCATATATGATAAAAGTCCCAGATTGAACATGGAAAACATTTTAAAAAAATCTTTAACAATTTTTTTTAAGGTAATTTGTTTAGACCCTGGTCTAAAAGCAAAGGTTTTTTTTTTTTGTTGGTCTTTTCTGAAAATTTCACACTTTGCTAAACCATCTCCGAAAATACAGTGACATGCAGTTCTTTCAAATGTGTGCAGGTAATTTAGAGAAATGTCCCCAGAAAAGATAAAACGTTTACTGTAGTTAACATTGTAAGAATAATTTAACAGCAATAATTTAAGACAATAATGGGCTATATTTTTATGATGGGAATTTTGAAGTTTTTTTTTTTTTTTTGAAGATTTGTAAAACAATCCAATCTCTCCTTTGTTCATGTCGTTGTCTATTTTAGTTCAGATAACTTTGTTAGAGGTAATCTTCCAGCAGTAGATTAAAGTCAACTTTCTTTGAGTGATTAAATCAGCCCGAGTGAATAAACAGTCTGTTTCTAGTCTCAAATTAAATCACTAGATAATATATGATGTGCAGGATGGGTTTTTACTGGGATGCAACGTGACGGGTCAAGACAAAGCAGTGCATAATTTTGAAATGGCAATAAAATGTGTGGATTTCATATTAGAAGGGTGTCACATACAGAAGTCGCATTTAATTTAATCTCAGTATGAATCCAGGTGTTCTGTGAATGTCTGAGAGGTTTGTTAAAGAATATTGGTGAACAAACAGCATCATGAAGACCAAGGAACTCGGCAGACAGACCCGGCAGGGACAGGATTAATAAGAGAAGCAGCCTGTGGTTACTCTGGAGGAGATGCAGAGATCCAATTACTTACAGAGACATTAAATCTAGCAGTTAATCAAATAAAGACTGAATGCTCACAAAAACCAGAAGCTAACTGTGCAACTCTTTCTGCACAGGAAACAGCCTGATCACCCTGACTCTCCACCTGCTCAACCAGTATGGCCTGGTGGACCTCTTCCAGCTGGACATGGTCAAGCTTTGGAGGTTCCTGGTCCTGGTGCAGGAAGACTACCACAACGACAACCCATATCACAACTCCGTTCATGCTGCAGACGTGACACAGGCCATGTACTGCTACCTGCAGGAGCCCATGGTGAGACAAGCAGCCGAAGCCTTTCACGTTTTATTTGCTAAGGAAAACGCGCCAAAACAAAGATGCCTGTGTTGCCGTTGTCCCGTCAGCTGTCAAAGTCTCTAACGTCGTACGACATCCTGCTGGGACTTCTTGCGGCTGCCACACACGACCTGGACCATCCTGGGGTCAACCAGCCCTTCCTCATTAAGACTGACCACTATTTAGCCACACTCTATAGAGTAAGATGCCGTAAACGTTACGAACTAACCCGCCTTAGTTGCCGTTCAGGAAATCGGAACTGAAATGGTTGCAACTTTCCTTTTTTTTTTTTTTTTTTTGATTAAACAGAATACCTCGGTTCTGGAAAACCACCACTGGAAGTCGGCAGTGGGTCTCCTCAGAGAGACCGGACTGTTCTCTCACCTGCCGCCTGAGGACAGGTAACCTGGGCAACAAATACTCAGGCCTCTCTGCTGTAGCGCTAAGACGAATGTCTGATCGCGCGTTTGTCTCTTTAACCACAGCATGAACATGGAGAGGGAACTGGGCTCTTTAATCCTGGCTACGGACATCAGCAGACAGAACGACTACCTGTCCAGGTTTCGCACCCACCTGGACCAGGAGAGCCTGTGCTTGACCAACGCCAGTCATCGTCACTTTGTCCTGCAGGTTGGATGCACGCATGCACACACACGCGCGCAGTCTCTAGCCTGTCGGCAGACGGGCGAGTTCTTATCCCGCTTTTCTCTCCATCTCCTGTGCAGATGGCTCTGAAGTGTGCAGACATCTGTAACCCCTGCAGACCCTGGGAGCTGAGCAAGCAGTGGAGCGAGAAAGTGACGGAGGAGTTCTTCGAACAGGGTATCTGTTGCATGGCATGTGTTGTGTTTGGCCACTTAAACTTTGTGCTTTTAGCTTTACTTTGTTCTAATTCTGAAACTGTTCGCACGTAGATGGTTTGACTTTTGACTTGCTGCTTGACTCGTGCAGGAGACATCGAGAAGAAACACAAACTTCAGGTCAGCCCGCTCTGCGACAGAGAGACGAACACCGTCGGCAACATCCAGATAGGTAAGGGTGGTGGATACGAGTGATGTTTAATTCAGTTAAGGGGGGGGGTCCGTAAATGTCCTAGCTAAAGCCTCTGCCGATCTGTCGCCTCCAGGCTTCATGACGTACGTGGCAGAGCCGCTGTTCGGAGAGTGGGCCCGGTTCTCGGACACGCGCCTGTCTCAGACCATGCTGGGTCACATGGGGCTGAACAAGGCCAGCTGGGGCGGCCTGCAGCCGGAGCAAACCGCCGTCTCCGAGGAGACGGAGCCGAGCGCGGCCGGCGCCGACGCAGGAGGAAGCCGCTCCAAAGAAATACCTCAGGGAAGCAGAGAATCCTGACACTCCTTGTTCGCCCTTTCACTTCAACCTCCTGACCCCTGACCCCAGGGGCCTCATCCACACACTGAGGGCAAGTGGAGCTCCCACCGCCGGCCCGGCCTAATTTGAACACCTTGTTGATATGTTGTTGCTTTGGCCTCCCATCACAATAAACCACTGATTTTTCTTTTTTTTTTTTTTATTTAATTTATTTAATGAAAAAAAAATTTTTTTTGGCATAGAGCAATACATAGATACCTCATTTGGCAACTGCTGTATTTTCTCTTATTTGCTTTATTTTATTTATTTGAGGACTGTATTTTTGAGGCATTAACGACTAAATATGCCACTTTTTTTGTTGTTGTGGAACGTTAAGGTGAAAGCAGTATAAACTGAAAACTTAATTTCTTTTTTTTTTTTTTTTTTGAAGTGCCATTTGAAAACAAAAATAAAATTTAAAAAAAACATTTGACGGACAACTGGAGTATTCGGAGACCCTCCTGAGACTTTTTCAGTTTGCCGTGTTGCATTTGTACTGAAGATTCTTCCTTATGTACAAAAAAAAGAGAGAAAAGAAAAAAGAAATGTGACAAGCCCAGTCCTTCTGCTGCCTCTGAGAAGACTGTTTACGCATCTCCATGTTTGTTGTACTTTTTGTCTTTTTTTCCTTTTGAACTGAAGCGACTCCCGTCGGCTCCACAGTTTGCCTTCGAAGCACAGGCATACGAAAAGAAGCGAACCACTCGATTGAACTGTTGTCCCACTGTTGAAGCCATGAGCTGAACTTTATTCAAAACAAACCAGATGCCATATTAACTTCACCTGTGCTAGCGTGTGTTCCTGCACGTCGTCTACCGGAGAGGGCTCAGACTCTCCCAGATCTCACCTGGATCGCCACTCCATGCAACTTCACTCGCTCAGGGTTTTTACCAGTCTTTTATTTTATCCAGCGAATGACGGGGGGAGGAGGGGGGAGACGGAGGTGGCTACAGACGATGCAGGGTTGTTTCTTTTTTTTTTTCTTTTTCTTTCCCCTGTTGGTTTGGATAAACCGAAGGAGACTCCCTCGGCACAGAATGTCTCTCACGGCCACATGAAACCTGACGGACTGCTCGACTGATGCCTTATAACTATGCACAAACTATGCTAAGTGACCAAACCAACTCCTGTTCCCATCAAGTGCATGGTGTGCTTGTTTGTGAATGCACTGTCTGACGCCCTTTGCCTTTTTTCTTTACTTTTTCCTGTTGTGAGGAATAACTCCAGCTTTTTCTCTCTTCTTCCCCCCCCTCCCCCCTTCCTTTTTGTACGGATACGGAACCAGTCGAGTGAATCAAAAACATTCCATTCCTTTTTTTGTTTGTTTGTTTGGGTTTGTCCGTTTTGATTCTGTACAGTGGCACAGGTTGTGTTTGTGTTGAAGCGTTTGGAACGATAACAGGTGCTTTTCTTACTTTAGCTGATTTGTATTTTGCTGTAAAGTGCTGTAAGACTGTTGATACAACTGTTTACAATTTGTTGCGACAGCCATTTTTGGGAAGACTTCAGTGTCGAGCCAGATTTTTGTAAAGGCTTTGCTGTATTGACCTTTTTGATACATGCTTGTTGCAGTTACAATTTGAATAATAAATCCTGTTGATGAATTTTCCATGAGTATTCAGTTTAATACTTCTGCCTCACAGGTTCTTAGAGATCCTTCCAACTTTTTTTTTTTTAAACAAACTTTTTTTGTCCTCCCTTGCTCTGACTTTTTAAGCTGTTTTATGTAACCTTTATTTATGCAGCAAGAACCCAGACTAGAAAACTCCCTTTCCGAGGGAAATTTGGCCAAGAAAGACATGCAAGTATCGGTTACAAAGTTAAACACAATCAAACCACGAACAAAATGGATTAAAATTTAAGATTGCAAGCAATCTAAATTATTAGTTTCATGTTATGGAGTTGGCCTCAAAGATTTAATTTTTATTCAGAAGCATTCATTCTCTCATTTTTCAGTCATTCTGCAGCTTCTTCCAAACCAGGGGAGTCGAGTGAACAATGATATTTTAACAAATTTAATAAATGAGTGATCTTTCAGATGAAGATAACCTTCGCAATCTGCTTTTGGCTTTAAGATGTATTTTGTAATATGATCGCACCTTGACAAAAACGGTTTAATTGAAATGCAATTAATGTAAACCTCCAAACTACATGAGTCCTGTGGACAGTTTTCATGATGTGCTTCATGGTTCTGATGTAACATTTCTCCATTTTTATTGGCACAGCTTTTCACTTATGTTCAATTTAATAGTTGTAAAATAAGTACTTATTTTGCCATGTCACATCTAGGTGCATTTGTACAAACGGTTGCAGAAGGATTAGACAGCTGAAGCTCAGCCATAATGGATGAAGTGAGGGACTCCAATGGGCCAGTTTTCTCCATAGTTAGAGATTTCCCTGATCACTTTAATTCCACTTCTACAAACTTAAATTGCAGGTTTAAAATCCTATTAAAACACATCACATTGAAGTTGTAAACAGTAAAAACAGTAGCTTTTTCACAGCCCCGTATGTGAAATTATCTACACAGAAAATATTACAATATTAAATATTCATTAGTCTTCCTAGAAACTGTTCAATGGAAGTAATTTCTCAGTCAAACATTTGCAAAGAATGATGAATCAACACCAAAAGGTCAAGAGACCAACTTTTATTAAAATGATTTACAGTTTCTTAGAGAACTCTTCTGCAAAACCAACAATAAAAACATTACTGACAACTTGTCCGCCTTCCCTTATAAATAAGCAGCTGTGAAGTGAAATGATAAAAGACTTATGATGGCTCAAAACATCAGGAATCATAACATACGATTGTTTTCTTGGACGCATAACCATTACTGAACACTGCAGCAATTTTAAAGAGATATTAACTTTCCGTACAGTTTAATAAAAACGGGAACAAAATGCAGAATCCTGCAGGACATCAGTGGAATGTCTTTGGCTTTTGGAAGACAATAAAACAAAATTCTATAAACTAAAAACACATTTTACTGGAACTGGTGATCCTGACAGAAGACGAAATTCTTTCAAATGTCCATCCACGTTTGGTTGAGTACCTTTGAAACGAACCATGGACGAGTCCGTCACATCATTCACTGCTAAAAACAAACTGCAGCACCTACCTGAACTGCGATATAAATAATCTCCTCCCACTCAAATTAAACTACAATTTACACATGTTCTTCAACAATACTGCACCAAAATGTCTGAAAGTGCTTTTTTTTTTCTCCCTTCCATGTTAAATGAGCTTCTCCAGCTTCTCTCCTCTTCCATGTGCAACAAGTTGAAACAAATAATTACAAAATAAGGTTAATAATAATAATAATAATAATTGTCTAGTGTTTGCGGTCACATGACAACCACAGTTTAAAATATAAAGCTGATATAAGTTATAAAAGTGCAACAACAGCAACAAAAGAGCAATCCATAACTTTGGACTGAGATGATTAAAAATCGGTCCAGCCAGGTCAGCAGAGAGAAGCTACAGATTCTCTGGATGAGCAGTTCAGGCTCCTCCGGTCAAAGCAGCTTTTTCCTTCCAGTTGGTTTCAGCATGTGCTGCCCAAACTGATGAGGAGACAAGACAAGAAGTGCGTTTGGTTATTTGGATTTTTGACAGATTAACAGAGTTAAATCTGAGTTTAATGTCAGAATTATATGACAAAAAAAAAAAAAAAAAAAGCCAATTCTGTGAATGAAAGTCAGAATTCTGAGATTCAAGTAACAATTTTATTTCCTTATTTTTGTTTTTCTTCTTCCCAGTGGCGCTAATCCTCTTGGAAATCTGATGGATAAAAGTATCCGTCTCACCAGAGGGGCTTCACTTTGAGGTTTGTCTTCTGGGTCGGCGACCTTCACGTCTTCTCTGTCGCTTCCTTCTTGTCCGCTGTTTTGTCGAAACCGATGGGCGAACTTGCGTTTGAGAGCTTCGGCGATGAGACCCGCAGGGTCGGCCGGCTCGTTGGACTTCGTTTTGCCTTCAACGTTCTCTAAGCGACTATAAAAAAAGTTACAAAAAGAAAAAAATTCCGAATCAATGAATAAAACAATCGGCGCATTGAAACCGAGCCTGAAGGTGCGAGACGAACCTTTTGACCGACCGCAGCTTAACTTTGTCTATGTCCTTCAGGATGTCCAGCATGCTGGGGATATCTGCTGGCTTTGAATACACAGGCGTCTGCTCATCTTTCTTCTTCCCCCTTCTCTCTTTTATCAGCTCGATGGCTGAAAATGTTCGCTGTAGTGCTGGTGCAGGGAGTGGAGGAGGAGGTGGTGGCGGAGGAGGAGGAGGGACGCTTCCAGAAGGTGGAGGAACCCCAGCAACAACAGCTGGAGTGAAATGGGAAGTTAAGAGTAAAAGCTTTAAGTCATGTAGAAGTCTGCTGCCATCTAGTGGAAACAACGGTGAATTGGAGTAGAAGACAAACGATCAGATTGGCCAGAAATAAAAATTTTTACCCGACTGCGCCGTCCTTTCCTGAGCCAAGACGATCTGAGCTATCTGCGCTCTGAGTTTGGCAAGTTCGGTCTCCAGCGCGCTGATCTTCTGGATCGCCTCGTCGTTTGCGGCTGTTGGTCCACGCGGGTCAGGTGCGTCCTCGTGCAGAGTGGGCAGGGAGCGCCGGCGGGAGACCGGCTTCCTCTGAGGACGAGGCTGCTGGGCCCGAAACATGAAGCCCGGCGGGACTCCTGGCCTGCTTCAACCAGACCGCAGTTTCAACGCTTAAATACAGAGCTTCACAAACTTTATTTTATTCCTTCGGCTTTTTCACATTTAGTCACAAATTAGGATGCACTTTATTAGACTTTCACTGCAACAGCACCAGAAAGTCTTTTTCAACCGTGAAGTCTTCTTGCAGGATCGCCCTGTATTCATCTCCATCCGTCTTCACGAATAATAAGCTTCCCTGTCCCTGCTCAAGAGCTGCACAGCATGACACTGCCACTACCGTGTTCCACTTCAGGAACGGTGTACTCTGCATTTTCTAAAATGACCAGCGTTTTTCCCACGTTTCCCCTACATATGTGGAAATATGCAAACATAGGAAGACTTTTTTGTTCAGTGCTTTCACCTGGATCTGCCAAAGTAGCCTTCATCATCCTCTTCGTCCCCTTCGATCCAGGCGACGTCGGCGAGGGAGGCGACCGGGTTGGTCTGCCTCTTGGCTCTGATGAGAACTCCAGCCTCCTCAGTGTACGGGTAAAGCTGCAGGGATGAGGAAAACCGTTTAACACTGGGGGAAAACTTCTCAGCAGTGACCATCCATGCAGTCATGTATGAAAATGAAAACAAAATGAAGTATTTGGAAATCAATGCAACTCCAACACTGCACAACGGCAACAGACCAAATCACCATTTCACTGTGTAATCAATACATTTGTATATTTCTTCACTCATAGGAAGAGGCATTTTCTGGTTATGTCATATTTAAGCGTGCTAATGAATCATTAAGCCACACCGGAATGGCAAAATGTGAGTCAAGCACATGTATTTTGATGTAACCTGTCACATCAAAACTGTGTGACGTGCTCCAAA